CAGCTGTCTCCCAGCCCCCGTCCCGGGCGGGGCATTCAGGGCTGGGGGTCAAGGTAAAGGCAGCGCTGCCCCGGGAGGCCCCCCGCGTGGCCCGGACACTCACCCTGCTCCTCGATGGTCACGGTGGCACTGGGCCGCGAGGGGGTGCCTGCTGCGTGGGTCCGGTAGCTGCAGCTGTAGTTGCCAGCCCGGTGGACTGGGAAGGTGGCCTCCGCGGCCCCAGGGGCCCCACCCACCTCCAGAAACTGGCCGTCGCCTTTCCGAGTCAGCAGGAAGGTCGCGCCCCGAAGTCCCCCTCGGCACTGCAGGGTCGTGTTCAGGCCCGGCGTGATCCAGGACACCGGCTTGCTTCTGAGCAGGGGCGGGGGCAGGGGCTCTGCGGGTGGGGCAGGGTTCACGGTTCCGCGTGACTTAGGAGACATGAAGGCCCACCCTGACCTGGACCAACGCTCTCATGAAAACGCGAGGGAGCCAGGGAGGTGGACAGGGGCATAAAATAAGAGGAAGGTGTGCGAATGGCCCTACTGTGTGCCAGGCCTGCCCTAAGCACTTTCTGGGAATTCAATCGTTTATTCCTCACAACCATCTGGGGTCAGTTAAAAAATCACCTTCATTTTACAGGTGGGGAAATAGAGGCTCAGAAATGTCAGGTGACTTCCCCGAGTCCCCTAGCCTTCGGGAGGAGGGGGGAGGACAGGAGGGCTACTCACCCGTCCCAGTCACCTCCAGCAGGTCACTCAGCTGGGTCCAGCTACCAGCTCCAAAGGCATAGCGGCAGCGATAGAGGCCCCGAGTGTCCCCCGTCACGGCTCCCAGGGGGAAGCGCTGCTCCATGGCAGCTTCATCAAGGTGCATATGTTTCTGGAGCACCCCATCCTTAAACAGCTCAAAATCCGTGGTATGCAGCTTGGCCTGGCAGATCAATGTCAGGTCCTCCCAGGGTTTCAGCAGTGATTTGGCCTCTGCCCACAGGTCCGGCTGGGTCTCGAAAACTGCGTGGGAACGAGGGTCAGAGCCAGGCACCAGGACGTGGGCACCCACCACCACCAGAGCACGTGTGTGTGCACCCTACATCCCCAAGTACCACGTGCACCCAACGTCTTCAGGTCCCACTGCCACTAGACCAGCCCTGACCCACCATCCCAGGCCCGGCCCTGACTCACATGTGGCCGCTTCTGCAGTTGGGCTCAGGGAGACACCTGCGTAGACATGCTTGTGAGGCCCCCATTCCTGCCCCNCCCACCCAGGGGACCCAGGCCTGGGATGCCTCACCCCAGAGCAGCAGGAAGGCCACCAGCTTGGACATGGTGGTAAGCCTCACTCCAGCTGGGTGAGTGAGCTAATAAGACCTGAGTGAGGGTGGCAGCCGGTGAAACAGGACACTGACCTCTTATTGCTGTTTGTCTTTCTGGGAAGGCCAGGTATGTGTGTGTGTGTGTGTGTGTGTGCGCGCGTGCGCATGTGTGCCAGCAGAGAGTGCTGATAAGGGTGAACCCCTGCAGCTCCAGGAACCTCAGCAATAACGATAACCAATAAGCATGCATAAAGAACTAAATTAAAAATAAAGAATAAAAACAAGGATTGTAAAAATTAATATAAGAATAGGAAACAGTAAGAAATAAAATCAATAAGCAATAAAATGATTTAAATTAAAAATAATAAAGGCAATTGAAAAAAGGAAATATTAAAACAAAGAATGTGCCCGGCCAGGCGTGGCTCAGCGGTTGAGCATCGACCTAGGATCCAGGCGTTCAGGGTTCGATTGCCAGTCAGGGCACATGCCTGGGTTGTGGGCTGATCCCCCGTGGGGGCATGCAGGAGGCAGCTGATCAATGACTCATCATTGATGTTTCTCTCTCTCTCTGTCTCTCCCTTCCTCTCTCTGAAATCAATAAAGATATATTTAAAAAACAAAACAAACAAAAAACCCACAAATAATGTAATAAATAATATCAGGGTAGACGTACTTCGTCAGAGGTCCCGAGTGAGGAGAGCATGTTTTCACCCCTCCCATTCTATGCCGTCAGGCTGTGCTGTAGGGAGACAGGGAGACCTGGCCTCTCCACAGGGGTTACAGCTGCACCAGTGACCAGGGCAGCTCAGACAAACCTGAGATCTGGTCCAGGGACAGATTAAATTTAATATAAATTTAAGTAAGTAAAATGAAAAATTAAATAATAGAATGGAATAATTAAAATTACTAATTTTACTAATAAGGAATCAGAGTACTTGTTAGGTTTGGACAAAACTTAATGTTCCTGAGGGCTCACCGCTCCCCTGCATGAGAAAGCAACTTAGATGAACTCAAACAACCACCTGTTCATTGTGCTTGGTAACTCTCTACTCCCTCAGAAAAACCTCCCGCGGCCCAAAAAGTTCCCCCCCACACCCTACAAGGAGACTTCCACCCCAGCCACTTGGGGCTAGTGCCACTTGGAGCTCAGCCCGTCTGTATTCAGATGCCCTAATAAACCTGCCTTTACCTTCTATCTGGCCCCGTGTGGTCCTCCTTGGCCGGCCTAACATTTGGTGCCAAAACCCAGGAGAGTTCGGTGAGGATGGGTAGCCACTGTCCAGGGTGTGGGCCATCCCAAACTTGCAGCTCAGGGAGCAACAGCAGTAGGCAGCGGGTGCTCGTCCTGGGCTTACCTCCAACTCCTGTTTGGGACCCAAGCCCGGGCAGTGCAGACCCCCTTCTCCAACCCTCCTGAGCCAGCCGAGGAGGACACCGGATCAGGGCGTTCTCTTTCCATTACTGACTTGCACACTCCACACCAGCAGATCATTTTCTGGTGAATGACCCTCCTCCGCCTCTCGGGTCTATTGACTCTCTTCTCCTCACTCTCGAAAGTCCTAGCACCAGGCCAGAGTCCTCAAGGATTGGGGATGCCCATTCTAGAGGAACCCTCTCTTCTCTCGGGGTGATTTGTTTATTGGCAGGGACGCTTGCCCTAAAAGGCCACCCCTAGTGGGGGATTAGCCAGTCACCCTCTCAATTCCCCCTCACCACACTCATTACTCTCATCATGGGCACCCCCAAAGACCACCCCTCTCAACTGCCTCCTTAAAAACTTCGAGCAATTTGGCCTCCTCACAGGCGGTATCAGGCCCAAGCACCTTATATTCTATTGCAACACTGCTTGGCCTCAATACAAATTAGATAATGGGTCCCAGTGGCTATTATACACTGTAAAGGGCATCAGATTGGAAACAGCCCCATAATACTGGACAACAACAGGGCAGGCCATAAAACAGGGAGTGGCACTAAAGGAGCCCCGAAGGACTCAGCCCTTAGCCATCCCCAGCTCACTCCGCAATAGAGCCCCCAGGAGCAGGAGTCCCTCCTTGCTCAAGGGGCTGACCAAGAACAACCTTGGCTAATATATCCTTCCCAGGATCAGGCCCTCCAAATCTTAAAAACTGTTCATAATTCTCTACACACACACAGGCTACAAACCTCTTTTACAACTCCTGTCCCAGAATGCCTGATCCTGGCTACTTTTGCTCTACTCCCTCTCCCAACTCCCATAATCATTCCACTAATTTCTTTATTGCTTGCCCCTGTATTCTGTGCCAAGTCTCCTCGTTTCTCCAGGATCACCTATGAGCCTTCGCAAACCAGTCTATTGGAGAAATGATGCTACTACAAACCTTTGCACCATATCAGTCCCTTGTCCAGACTTCAAGGGGTTCATACCCACAGCAGGTCACTACTACCCAAGCCCATCTCCCTCTGAACTCCATGCCCCCTTCCAGCCTGGAAGCAGTCACGGAAGAAACGACCTCCGCCCCCCACTCCCTAAAACAAAAGAATGGGGTGTTAGGTTTGGACAAAGCTTAGTTCCTGAGGGCTCACCCCTCCCCTGCATGAGAAAGTAACTTTTAGATGAACTCAAACAACCACCTGTTCCTTATGCTTGGTAACTCTTCCTCTCAGAAAAACCTCACGCGGGCCAAACAGCCCCCCCCACGCCCTGCGAGGAGACTTCCTCCCCAGCTGATGCCACTTGGAGCTCAGCCCGTCTGGATTCAGATGCCCTGCTAAAACTGCCTTCACCTTCTACCCGGCCCCGTGGGTTCCTCCTCGGCCGGCCTAACAGTACTAATACTAGAAATAATAACACTAAATATTATAAATAAATAATGCAATAAATGACAACAAATTAATATAAATAATAAAATGCTAAATTTTAAAAATAAGTGACAATGATGAATCTATTAAATAACAAGTGAAAATTAAAATTAATAACCATTATGCTTATGAATAATAATGATTAACATAATAAGAAATAAAATAAACAAAAATAAGGAACCGCCCTCGCCAGAGTGGCGCAGTTGGTTGGACCATAGACCCCGGCAACGGATCGATCTCTCTCCCCCCCTCCCTCCCTCTCTAAGCACGTCCTTGGGTGAAGGTTAACAGAACAAATCACAAGGCACCTACTCCTGTGGTGTTTGCATGTTCCTCATGCACCGGCCGAGGCACAGGTGGTGTCACCATCGCTCCCGTGTTAGGTGTGAAGAAAATCAGGTCAGGTGAGTGCCTTCCTCTCTGCCTGGTCCCTCATCTCCTCCGCCCAACAGCCCAGCAGTGCTGGGGTCCTTTTCTACGAGGGGACACTGAGCCCCGCGGGCCACAGGGTGGCCAATGCCACCAGGCCACCGAGAAGCCCAGCTGTCCCCTCCTCATACCCCAGCGCACTTGTGACAGCCAGGCAGGTGGGATTCACCTGCGTCTGAATTTCCTATAGTTGGCATCGCACTGCTTCATGGAGGCAAAGCGTGGCTCTTCCCGGAGCTGTAGTTCCTTCTCCATCGCTGGTTAATTCTGCAACTGTGAGACCCACCAGGGGTTTGTACATGAATTTGTGCTTCTAGCTCCTGCCCTGGAGCAGATCTCTAGGTTGTGGACGTTTGTCTGAACTGCCCTGGTCAGTTGTGCGGCTGTAGCCCCTGTGGAGAGTCCCGGCCTCCCCCTCTCCCCATGGCCTCCCTGTCTCCCTACAGCACAGCCTGAGGGCGTAGAATGGGAGGGGTGAAAACATGCTCTCCTCACTCGGGACTCTGAGGAGGTACTTCCATCCCATCCCTGAAGGTGTGGTCCCCACTCTGGGTGTCCAGGCTCCAGCTCTGCAGCCAGGTTGAGGGCCCAGGGAAGCCTCCCAGCTCTCACCTCCCACCTGACCTGCCTCCCACGTCACCCGTTCATCCCACAGGCATTTACTGAGCACCTCCTGTGTGCCTGACACAAAGACAACAGTGGGACAGGGTCGACCCAGGTCCTGACCACATGGCCCTGGCTGGTCCGGGAGACAGAGAAGGCAGACGGTGGTCGCTGGGAGGAACATAAATCCCAAGGACATGGGGAGCAGAGAGTGGAACGAGGCGAGGAGATTCTGGACGGAGGGAACAGCCAGTGCAAAGGCCATGAGGCAGGATGAGCAATGAGGCAGCCAGTGTGGCAGGGATGGGGGAGGCAAGGGGCAGAGCAAGGGGCAGAGGGGCGGCGGCAGAGCTCAGAGCTCGTCTGGAGACCAGTCATGCTTTGGCTCCTGCTGGGAGAGTCAGGGAGCGGGGAGACTCCCAGCAATGTCTGGCTTCCTTTCCACATTTACTGAGCACCCCTGCTCTGAGCCAGGGCCCAGAAGAAAGCTGCATGTTCCAGGTGGGGCTGGGGAGGCCTCAGGCATTCCTTGCAGCAGGGACCACTGAGCGCCAAGGCCTGAAGCACCCAGCAAAGACTGGTGGCCAGGCCAAAGGACAACCAAACAGTGGCTGAACCTCAGTCCATGGGCTGCGCCCCCCTCACTGAGCACCAGGGCTCAGGTTCTTCTCGCTCTGTGTTCCCTTTTCTGTGAAAGGCACACATCCCTTTATCAAATGCTCCAGAAACCTGAGCGTATTTCGTGCAATTGCTTGTTCCAATGCTTCTTCACCCATTGTTGCTTTTCCCTCAGTTTAGCAAATTTCTAACTTGCAGTCGCCCAGAGTCACCCAGTGGCCTGAAATAACTTGACCAGGAACTAAAAGAAATCAGAAGCATTTAACCAAGACTCTCTACACGTTTTCCACAAGGACGCTTCAGAGCAACTGCGCGAGGTTCTTCTCGGGACGCTGCTGCCAACCATCTGGGGAGGGGGTTACTTTGCCATTGGACGTCTCAGTCACAATGGCAGAAACACACCTGTGGTCAACGCTTGGGGGGAATTGATTGAGCGGAACTGGGACAAAGTGGATCCGTTAAAGGGGGAAATGCAGAGTTGGACACATCCCACGGATGGTAACTGGCCACTGGAGCAGCTCGGCTGTCACTGCCACGCTCTCAGGAGGCTGCTCTTGTGTGGGGGAGGTGGGTGTGGCCTGAGGTTTCTCAAACTGCCCTCACTCCAGTCACACGTAATTGCATAACCCTTCTGTCCCCTCCAGGCCTCTGGGACGCTGGCCTTCAACCCAGGCAGGCGAGGCCACGCCCCCCTCAGAGCCACTCAGGGCCTGGGTGACAGAGACTTCATGGAGCCATGTCCAGGCCCCCGAGGGCATGGATCCTTGCTGGCTCAGGGTTTATTCCTGTGGCTATGGCCACTTTGTGCCTTGGTCTCTCCACCTGACAAGTTAGCCAG